TAAAGGGCAGGAGGTAATTAAAGATAATATGCCTCTTGCCTCAGTGGGGCTCCGCCTCCTTGTTTATGCTCCATTTTTTAAAGGCAACTTTCAAGCGTAAGATCAGCAGCAACCTTATTATTTATTTATTTTGACATAAAGCTCTTTTAAGCTTTTTGTTAAGGCAGTATTCTTTGCAGATGTGACACAGCTCTGATGCTGCATTTAACAATGGCCTCTTCTTCCCCTTTCAAAGCCTGAGAAGATTTAGGCCAGTAAAGTTTCAGTATGTGGTGGGTATGATTCATTTGGGCCAAGGGAGGAGGGTGACAGTTACTTGCTGCACAAACCTTTCCTGTGATTCATGGAGTACCATATCTGTCAGCCTTGAGAAGGTGGTTCATGTGCCTCTAAAGAGGAAGGAAAAATACCATGAACACTGCTGTTAGATGAGGACTGGGTGGGGGAAACTCAGGTTACTTAGAAGAAAGTAGTAGAAATAACCGGGTTCTGTCTGCAATAGCTGTTCATGTCCTTAATGAAAGATTAGTATATATCAGGCCTAAATGTGAGAAAGGGAGAGAACACTCAGGAATTGCTACAAATTAACAAAAATAATGTGGCTCTTATGTTGTCATTTTAGTATGCAGATTTTATGTAAATATGCCATAGCCCTTTTCCTCCTTGTCTTTTGAACCCATTGTTCTTTCGTATGGGAAGAAGGCACTAGTCTCAGCTTTATGCCTCAGCAGTAGTTTCAGATTTTGTTAGTAAGAGCAGGGAGACCACATATATAGCACTACATGCATGTTCCACCCCAGGAATAGGCAAAATATGGCCCGCAGTCTGGATCCGGCCCACCAGTTGATTGTATCTAACCTGTGGCTGCCCCCATGGTGCTCCACCTGGGGCTGAGCCTCACCCACTCTGGCCCGGGGCAGCCAGTGTTGTGCTTCTGCCTGGACCTGTCCCACACCTGCCGAGAGCACCCCCCCAGCGCCAGCCCTGGCCAGCACACAGCTTCCTGGTGGCTGCAGCCAGCCAGGTACTGCTCAGTTTCCCCCACCTCCAGCAGCTCCTCCTTCTTCTGCCTCTGCTGTGCATCTCTGGTAGCAGGCAGCGTGGCAAAGTGGCAGTGGCCATGGGGGTGTTTTGGGTACCACAGCAGCGTGGCAAAGTGGCAGTGGCCATGGGGGGGTTTTGGGTACCAGTTGCCCAGCCGGGTGGAGGGAAGCTGCAGCCAGGCAGCTTCTGCTCGAGCATGTGGGACTTTAGCTCCTGGCTGCCTTCCACCCACTCTGCCCAACTGGCACGATGAACAGCAGCTACCTGAGGGTGGCTGAATGGGTGAAAGGCAACCCTGCTGGGAAGCTGTGTGCACTGTCCAGGGCCAGGGTAGTGCTGTCTGCAGGCACGGGGCAGGTGCAGGCATGATGCCTCAGGTGGGAATAGGAGTGGCTCAGCCCCATGCAGTGTGCTACCGGGTAGCCATAGGCTGGATGTGGGGGGGCAGACTGCACCTGCACCGCACCACACTGTTCCAGAGAGCTTTGCTGCATGTGCTTCCTATCCTCTTCCGTCTCTTCCCCAACTGTCAACCAGCTCCTGGGACCTAGTACACGGGGCAGCGTGTGCACACGCACACTATATGCAAGAGTTAGACTTTATTTTGAACAAGACTTAAATCTTTGCTACTATCAATACAGGATGCAGAGATTGAGTTGAGAGAGTCATCGTCTAGATAGAACTGAATATTTTATGCTGCTGGCAGCTAACATTAGATAGATGCTGGGAGAGGGTTCCAGCAGCTGTATAGAAAACTTAAGATTACTCTATATTATGAATAAATCAATGAGCACCTTCAACAAAACAAAAGAGAGAATTGCAAAATGCTGGATATAAACAAACAAACAAAAAAGAAGTGTTGGGATTTTGAAGCAGACCGCAGAAAGTGAAATGGAATATTAGAGGTACGCAGCTGGATCTACAGTTGCTTATACCTTTTTAGCTCCATGATAATGCACATACATATCTGGGTTCAAGAAATATTCTAATTTATCAAGTAACAAAAGGCTTGGACTGGTAAAAGGTTTCTTTGAAGATGGAGGAGGAGGAGGGTGGATACTAGGGAGGAAAAACTATCTTTTTACAGTAGCCAAAATCAACAAATGCTCACCTGCAGATGCAGATATGCACTGAAACAAGTTTGATTTCTAATCGACTTTTGTAGACAAGCAAGGCTGATGTGGGAACAAATCCTCATCTAGTGCAAACTGAAGTAGTCATCAAAGTCAGTGTAAATCTGCCAATGGTCTAATGCAGGGGTGGGCAAAATGCGGCCTGTGGGCTAGATGCGGCCCGCCAAACGATTCTATTCGGCCTGCGGGGCCCCTAAAAAATTTAGAAAATTAATATTAATCTGCCCTGGGCTGCCTGTCATACGGCCCTCGATGGCTTGCCAAAATTCAGTAAGTGGCCTTCTGCCCAAAATAATTGCCCACCCCTGGTCTAATGCAAGGGTTTTCAGCCTTTTTAACAAGTGTACGCCTTTTTAACAAGTGTACCCCTTCTGTTTCAAAGCTTCAGCTCATGTACCCTTTTATATTTTTTTCTTGTTTTTTAAGGGGCAAGGTGGGGGCAGATCGAGGCCCCTGTGGTGAGGGAGGGAGTGAGGCTGTGGCAGGCACTGCACAGCGGGATGGAGCTGTGAGAGGCTCGTTCGGTGGGCATGGGGGGGGAGGCGGCTCCCACTGCTACAAGCACCCCAGGAGGGAATTGGGG